ATTTCGAGTGAAAGGGCACGAAATTATTTACCGACAGTTGGCCATAAAAGCATTACACAGTCTTATAGAAGCTGTAATAGACATTTATATAGATTCTGTTAAAAAGTATCAATTATAGGCGAAAAATCAATTTTACTAGCAAAAAAATTCGTGGATTAAATTTTATAGATAAAAACATCGGGTATAACTGGTTGGATTAACATAGTAATTTACAAAAGTTATTAAATCATTTCACAATGTATTTTTATTTAAAGGTGGATAGATAGAAAAACTTTCAAGATATTTTATGAAAACAATTGAGAAGTTTTCTAAATACTAAAATTATTATTGCTGATCGTTTGATCTGAAATGATTATTATTGCAAATTAATATATTTATTACTTATAGTTATTATAAAAATTTATAATAACTAGAAAGAATATATTAAACTTTGTCTTATTGTTAAAATAAAATTAATTTAATTAAGATTTGTGATCGAAAAATTAATTTCATTCAACAAATTTTTATTTGTAATTTTAATTTATTCGATAGTAATTTACTCAAAAAATTAATTTTGTGATCAGTATGTGTCAAACTACTACTACTCCTGCAGGCGGGCGTCTCACTCCTGGTAGGATAAATATAAACAATAAGGAGCGAAACTCCGTCAGAAGACCCGTCAGGATCGTCGGGAGTGGTGGGGTCGTTTGTGTGCCTTTCACCCTCTCCATCCACACTCTATCGCATCATCCGTCGACTGAGATCCCCGCAGGCGATCACGGCCACCCAACACATAATCCAAACGACCGACTACCTACTTATTCCCATCTAGCAGGCGAGAGCCTTTGCATCCTTCTTGGGCGTACCCGCCCAAGGGGCACTTTTGCTCCCCTTGATGATCCCCGGCTGCGGGGCCCCAAAGTTTGACGATTCCCCCTTTCATCTCGAACTCCGCCGGGCTTTACACCGTCTTCGGAACACTACACCAGGCNCAGAATTACCTTCGAATTTATAATATTAGTATGGATTAATACGAATTTCTGCTATAAGGGGTACGCGAGTTTGAGCTCTTTCTTGAAGTGGTACGCAGGAAAAATTAATTGGGAACCACTGAATTAGAGGAAACCGTCCACAAAGGCGTCATACGAGGTGGGAATCGATTCCTCGGTGGTCCAAAGCTGATCGAGGTTATTGGAATAACGACTCCAGTTTGTAGGAAAGTGTAAACGAGGGGTAGTCGTCGGGTTAAGGGTGCCCGAAATAGATAGAGTGATCGAAATAGGAGCGTGGCAAAAAAAAGTATTGGAGTAGCCTAAGATATAGCCAAAGATTGCAGCGCCACGGCACTAGCGAAAATTTAAATTTGCCGACTGGAATACTTTCGGATAAACGACGCTCTGCTGTGTGTGAATAAAATCTTTTTTATATTTTTTATTTTCTACTTTTTAGTTTCGTATTTGTAACACTCAATTGTCGAAAGTCTTCTTGGCCATTTAATTGGGAAGTAGGTGAAAATTGAGATAATTTATCTGTACAGACAGACAGAATAAATTAATAAAAAGTGTAATAAAGATTATTGTAAATTAAATTTTGGGTAGAAGGACTGATATCATTTCTTTTGAATAAAATGGTGCCTAGAAGAAGAAAGGAAACGAAAAACTACATTCGATTAAATATCACCTGAGAAATGTCCGTTGGCGCGATAAAATTTTGCGTTATACAGGCCCTATTTGGCGATTTTGGCACAGGCTTAAAAAGGTTGCCTATTCCTGATCTAGACAGGAGATTTTGGCCTTTTAGAACTTAAGGCTGCTATACACTATGGGTTAATCTTCAAAGGAGTAACCATGCATGCCTGATTTTGAGTCATTCCTGGATGTGTGGGGTGGAAAATTTAACAGTTTCGGCGAACTGTACCGACCACCCGAGTAGAATCGGCCATATTCTNGAGGTTTTCTTCGTTTTTGGGCGATAGGAAATTCGGAAGTTCCTCAAGGCCAGGCAGCCTCAAAGGATTAACCCATGGTGTATAGCAGCCTTAATTACAGAGGAAAAAGACAGGGGAGGAGATCTAGGGCCGGATTTGTAAGTACACTTCACTTTAAAGGCTGCTATACACTATGGGTTAATCTTCAAAGGAGTAACCATGCATGCCTGATTTTGAGTCATTCCTGGATGTGTGGGGTGGAAAATTTAACAGTTTCGGCGAACTGTACCGACCACCCGAGTAGAATCGGCCATATTCTTTAGGTTAATTCTCAAAGGAGTAATCACGCATGCCTTACCTTTATAATTCTTGGTAGTTTATGGGGTACAATTTAACAGCTTCGGCGACCTGTACCGACCATCTGAGTAGAATTGGAAAATCATTTGATTTTCCTGGCTCAGTGTCAGACCTAAACGTGTGTGAGAACAATGTCTCGTGAATGTTTGGAAGAATTATTTTCTATAACCTTATTAACTTTTATTATTTATAACCTAATAAATTAATTTTTCAGGTTATAAATTATTTTCAGATCAAAAATTTCTTGAGTAAATTAAAATTATAAATAATTTTAATATTTAGAAAACTTCTCAATTCATTTCTTCCGTTTTCATAAAACATCTTGATACTCTATATCATTTTCTTTTACATTTTAAAAAATTTATTGTTTTAATATCCAAGTAAATTAAAACAT